ACGTTCTCTGTATCACCCGACATATGAAATTTTTTTCAAAGTTATCCCCAATCGGTACCTGCCAGAACCGGTATCTAGATGACGCTGTCTCTGCTGCACCATCTCCGATGTACCTGGCCTCTGCCGAACTCTCTCTGTACGAATCGTTCATAATGTGCCCCGACGTCTAACGGGCCGTTTATATTTTTCGTCAAAAGTTTTTCCACAATATCCAGGCCAGGACCTGTCTTGGACGACCCTGTCACTGCCGATCCCTTTCTCTGTCGGACGCGGTGTCTAACGGACTCGCTCTCTGCAAGATACGTTCTCTGTATCACCCGACATATGAAATTTTTTTCAAAGTTATCCCCAATCGGTACCTGCCAGAACCGGTATCTAGATGACGCTGTCTCTGCTGCACCATCTCCGATGTACCTGGCCTCTGCCGAACTCTCTCTGTACGAATCGTTCATAATGTGCCCCGACGTCTAACGGGCCGTTTATATTTTTCGTCAAAAGTTTTTCCACAATATCCAGGCCAGGACCTGTCTTGGACGACCCTGTCACTGCCGATCCCTTTCTCTGTCGGACGCGGTGTCTAACGGACTCGCTCTCTGCAAGATACGTTCTCTGTATCACCCGACATATGAAATTTTTTTCAAAGTTATCCCCAATCGGTACCTGCCAGAACCGGTATCTAGATGACGCTGTCTCTGCTGCACCATCTCCGATGTACCTGGCCTCTGCCGAACTCTCTCTGTACGAATCGTTCATAATGTGCCCCGACGTCTAACGGGCCGTTTATATTTTTCGTCAAAAGTTTTTCCACAATATCCAGGCCAGGACCTGTCTTGGACGACCCTGTCACTGCCGATCCCTTTCTCTGTCGGACGCGGTGTCTAACGGACTCGCTCTCTGCAAGATACGTTCTCTGTATCACCCGACATATGAAATTTTTTTCAAAGTTATCCCCAATCGGTACCTGCCAGAACCGGTATCTAGATGACGCTGTCTCTGCTGCACCATCTCCGATGTACCTGGCCTCTGCCGAACTCTCTCTGTACGAATCGTTCATAATGTGCCCCGACGTCTAACGGGCCGTTTATATTTTTCGTCAAAAGTTTTTCCACAATATCCAGGCCAGGACCTGTCTTGGACGACCCTGTCACTGCCGATCCCTTTCTCTGTCGGACGCGGTGTCTAACGGACTCGCTCTCTGCAAGATACGTTCTCTGTATCACCCGACATATGAAATTTTTTTCAAAGTTATCCCCAATCGGTACCTGCCAGAACCGGTATCTAGATGACGCTGTCTCTGCTGCACCATCTCCGATGTACCTGGCCTCTGCCGAACTCTCTCTGTACGAATCGTTCATAATGTGCCCCGACGTCTAACGGGCCGTTTATATTTTTCGTCAAAAGTTTTTCCACAATATCCAGGCCAGGACCTGTCTTGGACGACCCTGTCACTGCCGATCCCTTTCTCTGTCGGACGCGGTGTCTAACGGACTCGCTCTCTGCAAGATACGTTCTCTGTATCACCCGACATATGAAATTTTTTTCAAAGTTATCCCCAATCGGTACCTGCCAGAACCGGTATCTAGATGACGCTGTCTCTGCTGCACCATCTCCGATGTACCTGGCCTCTGCCGAACTCTCTCTGTACGAATCGTTCATAATGTGCCCCGACGTCTAACGGGCCGTTTATATTTTTCGTCAAAAGTTTTTCCACAATATCCAGGCCAGGACCTGTCTTGGACGACCCTGTCACTGCCGATCCCTTTCTCTGTCGGACGCGGTGTCTAACGGACTCGCTCTCTGCAAGATACGTTCTCTGTATCACCCGACATATGAAATTTTTTTCAAAGTTATCCCCAATCGGTACCTGCCAGAACCGGTATCTAGATGACGCTGTCTCTGCTGCACCATCTCCGATGTACCTGGCCTCTGCCGAACTCTCTCTGTACGAATCGTTCATAATGTGCCCCGACGTCTAACGGGCCGTTTATATTTTTCGTCAAAAGTTTTTCCACAATATCCAGGCCAGGACCTGTCTTGGACGACCCTGTCACTGCCGATCCCTTTCTCTGTCGGACGCGGTGTCTAACGGACTCGCTCTCTGCAAGATACGTTCTCTGTATCACCCGACATATGAAATTTTTTTCAAAGTTATCCCCAATCGGTACCTGCCAGAACCGGTATCTAGATGACGCTGTCTCTGCTGCACCATCTCCGATGTACCTGGCCTCTGCCGAACTCTCTCTGTACGAATCGTTCATAATGTGCCCCGACGTCTAACGGGCCGTTTATATTTTTCGTCAAAAGTTTTTCCACAATATCCAGGCCAGGACCTGTCTTGGACGACCCTGTCACTGCCGATCCCTTTCTCTGTCGGACGCGGTGTCTAACGGACTCGCTCTCTGCAAGATACGTTCTCTGTATCACCCGACATATGAAATTTTTTTCAAAGTTATCCCCAATCGGTACCTGCCAGAACCGGTATCTAGATGACGCTGTCTCTGCTGCACCATCTCCGATGTACCTGGCCTCTGCCGAACTCTCTCTGTACGAATCGTTCATAATGTGCCCCGACGTCTAACGGGCCGTCTCTGCAAGGACCTAGTTCGACAGAATGAGGCAAGCTGATAACATGAGAGGCAGAGACTGGGTGAAGCACAGAGCGCATCAAGGAGAGTCCCTGTGTGACACAGGCCGTGTCGAGCACAGGTGTGAAGTACAGACACTGTCAACACAGGCAGGTGAGGCACAGACAAGTCGTCTCTATATAGACCTGGGCAGCGAAGGGGTCCGACATGGAGATCGGGACAGGCAGAGACCGTACACACCTGAGACCGGGTTTGGCAGTAAACGGTTCCGGTAGAGACCGGATCCGAGAGAAATTGTGATTGGCAGAGTTCGTGTCCGGTAGAGATAGGGTCTGGCAGAAATCTGGACAAGGGAGTCTGGGTCCTACAGAGACCTGATCCGGCAGAAACCGTCTCCACCAGGGACCTGGTGCGGTGGATTTTGAAGAAAAACTTCAAATTTTTCAAAATGAAAACTGTTGTAAAATGTTCAAAAAGAGCACAAAACTAAAAAAAAATTTAAATACTTCAACATCAAACTTTTTTCAAAAATTCCGAATTTTTTTAGTTAATTTAGTTTTTTATGGCATTTGTGAACTTCTTGAAATTTGTTAAAAATTAACAAAATTTTCGAATTTTGAAAGTTGTTCCACCATACTCCCAGACTGACAAGGACTCCGTACAGCAGAGACCATATCAGGTGGAGACCTTGTGAGGCAGAGAACAGGAATGGCAGAGGTCTGGTCAGGCAGACAGTGTACTCCTGAGACCGCGTCTGGCAGAGACGGTACCGGTAGAGACCGGGTTGGCAGTGGTCGAGAGAGACTGGGTCCAACAGTGACTAGGTCTGACAGAGACCGCCTCCACCAGGGACCCGGTGTGGAGATTTTTAAAAACAATTCTTAAAAAAATTTGAAAAAAGTAGAAATGTTTGAAAATGTTCAAAAATCGCATAAAACTAAATTTTTTTGAGACTTCAAATTCAGAAAAATGACTAAAATTTCAATTATTTTTATTTCTATGACATTTATGAACATTTTGAAAATATTTAAAAATTTTCAAAACTTTGAAAACCTTTCGAATTTTGGAAGTCTTTCACCCAGACACCCGGGCCGGCAGAGACTGGTTTCGGCAGACGGGGTGTGGAGAAATTTGAAAATTTTTAAATTTTTTTGAAAAGTTCAGATAAAAATTTTGACTTAAATTTTTATTAAGAAAATTTCGAATTGTTTTGTTTTTATGACATTTATGAAACTTTCGAAAAACTTTGAAATATTTTAGAATTTTAAAAGTCGTTCCACCAGACAATTTGGTGATGGTGGGGAGTGTATGTATGAAATGTGAAATATGGTGACTTTAATAATTTAGTGTTTTGAGCTTTGCATTACAATTTAGCTTTAATTTGGTTCTTTCATAACAGCAAAATGTACTGATCCATGCAGGACCATCTCATTTAAAACAGATCAGAATAAAATATATAATTATGTCCAAACATATGATCAACCACTTACTAGACACAAGTGAGAGTTAAACCATACCTCTCATAAAATGCGCTTTCTCTTGAGAAAACTCTCACTCTTCTTTTACATGACAATTTCTAGCTAATGTCATATGTTTTCATCTCATGACACCGTTCACAAGCCTTGGCCTCCCTGCGAGCCATGCAAGATCATTACAAACATGACGTGTCATTCAGTATTGATGCCAGTAACTGCTTATCCTTGAGAGCTGCACACACTTCCTCTTCATCCCACTGCAGACACACCTGTTCAATTGAGAATAACGAGCACTGTATAATATAGACACTAACACACTGAAACTTAAAGCCTACATAAAAAGAGGGTAAAAAGTGGGATATTTCACTATTTTAGCAGAAACAATTTCCTCTCTTTCCCACATCAGAGGAACTTTATAACTTCAACAAGGCATTCCAAGCAGAACTCCTATCACCTACTACACAGACTCCCAGGCCTACAAATTTTGTGTTCTTAATATCTTAATTAGGCAAGTAAATTTCCTGAACATGTGATATCTTATTCAACTGCAATTAATATGGATTTACCATATTAATGGAATTCTTATGTCAACTTTCTATTTACTTCAGAATAACTTTGTAACGTGAGACAAGAAGCTAGTAGAACCTTTAGGAGTAAGAAAAGAGAATACCTGAAGGGCAGAATTGTTGAACTTGAGGAAAATAATAAGGAAAAAATATCAGAGACCTGTACAGAGGCATAAATAATTTTAAGAAAGGATATCAATCCCAGACCAATTTGGTAAAGGATGATCATGGCAGTTTGCTTGCAGATCCAATCAAAATTTTGAATAGGTGGAAAAATTTCTTTGACCAGCTCTTAAATGTTCATGAGACTGATGATGTTAGATAGATTAAAATACATACAGCTAAACTGTCAGTGCCAGAACCTAGTTTAGAAGAAGTTAAACTAGCCATTTGGAAGTTGAAAAGTTATAAATCTCCAGGTATTGATCAAATTCTAGCAGAATTAATTAAAGCAGGTGGCAAAAGGTTGCATTTGAAGATCCATACGCGTATTCAGTTAATTTGGGATAAGGAAGAGATGCCACAACAATGGAAGGAATCCATAATTATTCCTATTCATAAGAAGGGGGACAATACTGAGTGTGGTAATTACAGAAAAAATGTCTCTTCTATCAACCTCATACAAAATTCTATCAAACATTCTTCTGGCAAGATTAACTCCACATGTGAATTAAATTATTGGGGATCATCAGTGTGGGTTCAGACGAAACAGATCAAC